TGGCCTGCACAACCGCAAGGGCTTCCTTCTTTTTCTCTCCTACTGCGGCTGCCTCTCCCTGATTGCGAGCAGGATCCTCTTCCACTTCCCGCAGAGCAAATTGGCGGAGGGAGCAGCAGGCAACACGGCCACTGTTACGCTCCTCGTCTCGCCCGCCTACATGCTGTTTGCAGCGTGCGGAAGCTCTGATATCGCTGCTGAAGGCGTGCCCGAGCATGTGTGGCAGCATCAGTCGCCTGTTCTGGTCCAACTTATGCCTCCCGTTCGCAGACGTCACCGCCTTTGTAGACGTTGTCGTCGGCGGGCTGCTCTTTGCCTTTGCGGGATACCACCTTCGGTGCCTCGGGCGGCAGTAGAGACGCGTCGCGATGTCGCCACGGTCACTGGCGACACACCCCCACGCGCAGGTTAGTGATGCGAAACGCCACGACCCTCGAGCCCGATTGCACGCGCTTCGACGTCGGCGCGGTCGACAACTTGGAGCAGGTGTTTGGCAAGAGCAGGTTGCTGTGGTGGCTACCTGTGGGGGGGGAGCCGACCGTGGACGGAATCAGCTGGCCAACGAAGTAGAACTAGAAGTAGAGCAAATGAATGAACAGCAGACACCCTCTGGAGATGGGTAAAAAGGAGCAGGTCCCGCCCCGGTCTTTGTGCAGCTGCAGGGTTCTTTGTGGGGGTGGTCGGCGACAACACATATCTGTCATCTCTATAGTTATGATAATACTTTTTCTCTTTTGACTTTTTCTCTTTTGACCCCCCCGCTTCGCGCGCGCTACGACACGCAATTCGATGCTACTGAGTCCGCGGCCGCTTCGCAGGGGCAGCAGAAAGCAGATCTGCCTCTCCTCGCGGACACAGATGAGCCTCATCCTCACGCTCGCGCGCGCGGCCCTCCTCGCCCTCCTCCTCGCCCTCTTCGCCCTCCTCCGCGAACGCCCTCTCCGCCGCCTCCATCAGCGCGTCCGCCGCGGCGCGCGTCGCCTTGAGGGCGCGCATCTCCGCCGCCACAAGCTGCTCCGCCATCCTCCTCCGCCGCCGGCTCGCCTCGCTGACCGCCGCAGCACCCTCTCCCTCCGCGCCGCCGCGGGCGTACCGCGCCGCCGCCGCGCGCACGGCGCCGAGCAGGGCGTCGACGACGAGCACGGCGAAGGGCGGCTCCTCCTCCACCGCGGTCGAGTCGAGCAGAGGCGGCCGCCCCGCCTCCCCCCCCTCCCCCTCCCCGCCGCCGTCTCCGCCGCTCTCCGACAGCAGCTCGGCAAACTCGTCGGCGGGCAGCAGCATCAGCTGCACGACTGTCAGCAGCGCGTCTGGCAGCGGCTCCGCCTCGGACACGCTCACCTCGCCGCCGTACGGCTCGAGCAGCCGGCCGCACGCCGCCGCCTTCGCCTCCCACGCGGCGCCGACCTCCCACCCCGCCTGGAGATGGGCGCGCAGGCGCCGGCTCAAGAGGCGCGCGTGTGGAGGCGCGGCGAAGTCGCGTGAGGTTGGAGGGTTGCGGCCGCTGTTCGCGCGGACGGACGGGGAGGGGGACGGGGAGGGGGACGGGGAGGGGGACGGGGGCGGGGAGGAGGAGGGGGAGGGGGAGGGGAGGAGGCCTGCGCTCCGACCCCGTCGCGCGTCGCGGCCGCCGCGCCGAGGAGGAGACGGAGCGGCAGCCGGACCGAGGCGGGCAGCGGCGCGTCGCGAGGAGAGGACACGAACCCGTAGCAGAGCAGCAGCTGCGCATCGTCGAGCGCCTGCGGGGCGGGTCGCGGGCGTGTCGTGGCCGAGCCCTGGCGCCGGAGCGGCCGCTGCGCGTCTCGTCGCGCGCGTCGTAGGTGTGGGTGAGCTCCTCGCCAGCCTACGGGAAGAAGCTCGAAGAGGGATCCGGCAAGGCTCCGGCAGGGGGACCCTCCACCCGCTCCCTCGCTCCGCCTCGATCGGCCGCTCGGCGCTCATCGAGAAGAGGAGCGGCTCCTCGCCGCCCTCGCCGCCCTCGCCGGCCTCGCCGCCCTCGCCGGCCTCGCCGCCCGCGCCGCTTGCCCTCTCGCCCTCGGTGCCCACCACCACACCCACCACACCCGGAGGCGGCCGTTCGACGAGCAGCGCCGTGGCGGTTCCAGCCCTCGCGTGGTTGAGCATATCGATCGCCTGCAGCAGAGCACTGCCGCGCTTCCAACCCGGTCACGTGTACAAATCAGCGGCTCAGGGCATGCCTCGCTCTCCCGGCAGCATGCACATCTCGGCTGAATCTCGGCTGTATCTCGCCGGCAGCATGTACGGCCCGCAGCCGGCCGCACCGGCGTCGTGGAAGCCGCGCGTGCGCACGGCGGCGCACGCGCGCAAGAAGGCGCCGAGCGACGGGTCCGGCCACAGGTCTGGGTGCTCGCGCACGACGCGCCCAATCTGCTTATCGTACACCAGCCGCGCCGCGCCGACGAGGTCGCCCGACGCGTCGCGCAGCCCGGCGAGGTGGTCGTAGACGGCGGTGCCGCGCAGCCGCTCGATCTCCACCGGCGACCAGTTCTCGAGCGTGTCGTACGAGCGGGGCAGCAGAGAGAGGTACGGCGCCCACGAGGAGGCGTCGCCGAGCGCCTCCTCTCGCATGAGCACCAGCGCAGTGCGCACCATCGGCGACATGGCGCGCGCCTCTGCGGGCAGCCACCTCGACCAGGAGTCCGACTCCTCACAGGCGCACACCACGGCCGAGCGCGGAACCCGCAGCAGGAGCTCTCCTTTGCGGATCGGCGCAAGCGCAAAGACGCCACGCCCTCTGCTCGGGTGCTCGCCAAAGAGCTCGAGCTCTGGGTGCACGTGTGCGCCGCGGTTCGCCAGCCAGTCCACCAGGCGGAGCGTGGCAGACGAGCGCTCCATGCATAGGCGGAGCAGTTCTTTTTCGCGGGCCCCGGGCGCGGCAGTTGGCGCGCCGAAATTCTTTTTGGGATGCCTAACCATGAATAGTGTTGCGTGACTGTCTCTGTGCGATTTCGGGCCCGGGGTTGTGCGTTTATATGAATACAATTCGAAGATTTGTTTTATCGTTTTTCACTGCGCCCTTCGGCTTCGCTGTTCATTTGCGAGATTCTCCCGCCATTCTCTCGAGCCATTCTTCCTTCCTCCGTTCAGATGTAATTCGCCCGCTTTTCAAATACATTTTGTGGCGCTTTCAAGAGATTTTTATCGCAAATTTAGTGCTCTTCATGGCAGTTTCATGCAGAGCGCATCTCTCTCTCTCTCTGTTGTGCGAGGCGTGAACCGCGCCATTCGCTCTCACCTGGCAACCCTGTCTGCGCGCGCGTGAACAGGGCTCCAGGCCCCAAATTACGTGTGAGTGTTAGAGTTGTTTGGATATTGCAGTTTAAGGCAAGCGCGCCTTATCCTGGCTGGGTTCCGGCGTGGTCGGGAGCCCTCTAGGAGCCCTCGACTCCTCGGCGAGGGGCGAGCTCTTTCCTGCCTCAATGACATTGCAACAATGAGCGACGCCGACCCCGACCCCGACCCCGACCTCCTCGCTACTGACTTGGCACTCCCTCACGCTCACCAACGATATTGCTAAAAATCTCTCTCCCAACCATGTATCCCTCTCACTCTTGGAGCTGGCGGCGGTGCATGCCGCAAGCTGTCTGTCTGGGCTGCGAGTTGCACTTAGTCCAGGCGGCCTGGCAAGCTGCGCTGTTGCACTCTTCAGCACTCAGAGCTGCTCGGCATTGATTCCCTCATCACGAAATGTGGGATCTGTGGAAGCCAGATCATGGTCCTTATCCTAGCCCGCGACACTACTCACTGGGCGGTGCGGGTGCTTAACAGCAGCAGTGTTCCTGTCCATAAATTGGCTTGAAGGGGCTTGAATCTAGCGTCGGTGCGGTAACTTCAAGGCAAACCGTGTCGCCGAAGAGCGGAAAACATGTTTGTGAAACGCGGTTCAATGTTGTGTAATGGTAAAGATGTCGAGCCAAAGCTGTCGACGCCGAGTTCGGCACCCGATTCGCCCCAAAACTGAAGGAGGGGGCGCGGCTCGGAGATGGCAAGGCACGGCGAGTGCAAACGTGCGGCTATTATGACGCGTTTAGGGGCTCCAAAACCTCCTTTTCAGTGGTAAGCGCCACCTGGCACCTTGCGCCGTGCCCCCCAGCCGCGTGTGCGATCGCCCACGGATCCGGGGCGGGGGATAGGAGCCCGAAACGTGCACGCAAGTCTGCTCGGCGGCTCGTCAGAATGGTTTTTCAAGCATTGTTTGTGATTGTGTCATCGACATCGTGTGGGTGGGCCGCGCCGAGTGGTTCCTAGCGTGTGAGTCAACTCTTAATAGAACACTGGCACTCACAGGTACACCTTAATAGAAATCGCATCTAGCCCTCCTGGATGTGCGGTTACTGACTGCACTCCAAGTGCCCAAGTGCTCGTGGTGAAAATTTTCTTTCGGGGCGCGCTCCGCGCGGCGCTCGGAGCCCGACTCCTTGAGCAGCGTAGGCGCTGGTTCGCTGATGCGCGTTCGCGCTTGGCCGCGCAGCCTGCCCCGCAGGCAGCGGCTCTCCCGAGCGCTCTCCGCCGTCGCCGGCGGCCCAGTAGCAGAGCTGCTGCTGCCACGCGTGCACACGGCCCTCTCGCGCGACATCGGCGCCACGCCAGGCCAGCGGCTCGTGGTCTCCGTGAGCGGTGGCTGCGACTCGGTGGCTCTGCTGCACCTGCTGCTGGCGCTGCAGCCGCGCTGGCGGCTACGCCTGCACGTGCTGCACTTCAACCACGGCCTGCGCCCTGAGTCGGGCGACGAGGAGGCCTTCGTCCACGCACTGGCGGAGAGGCACTCCCTGCCGGTGCACGTGCGGCGGCTGCCGGCGGGTTGGCGGGAAAGCCAGCCGGGCGGCATCCAGGAGAGGAGCCGGGAGTGGCGCCGCGCGGAGAGCCTCGCGCTGCTCGACGAGCTCGACGCCGCGGGTCCGCCGCAATTCTCCTCAGCCGACGCCGACTTTGCGGACGAGCCCGGTGCCGCGTCACTCGTGGCGCTGGCGCACCACGCCGATGACCAGGCGGGGGCGGCGGTGTTGGGAGGAGGTGGAACGCGGCGCGTGTCTGTCACGTGCCTCGGCGTGGGTAGGCGGAGACGGTGCTCCTGAAGGCGCTCCTGGCTGCCCCATCCTCAATTCTCACTGAGGAATGGTGAGAGATGAGTTGACGGTGCTCCTCAAAGGCGCTCCGTGGCTGCCACCTCAGCAACCTGCGAGGGATGGAGTGGCGCGCGGGCCGGTTCGTGCGGCCGCTGCTCGGCGTGCGCAAGGAAGAGCTGTCCGCGTACCTGGGCGCGCTGGGCGAGGGCTGGAGGGAGGACGCCACGAACGCGGAGCCAACCTACAAGCGGAACCGCATCCGCCTGCAGCTGCTGCCTCTGCTCGAGGAGCTCACCGGCGGGGGGCTCCTCGCGCGGCTCGGCGCCGCGAGCGAGCAGTCGGCGCAGCTGCGCGAGTGGCTCGACCAGGCGCACGCCTCCAACACCCCGCTCCAACACCCCGCTCCAACTCCGACTGCCCGCTCCAACTGCCCCCCGAGCAGGCGCACGCCGCACACGTGGCGGCAGACCCCGCGTGGGCGCGCTCGGGAGGACGGGCCCTGTCTGTCGCCCCGCTCCTCGCCGCGCAAACGATGGTGCAGGAGGAGCTGCTGCGCCGCCATGTCCACGACACGTCCACGACATGTCCGAGACATGCCCCACAGGTGCAGGAGGAGCTGCTGCACCGCCTTGCCCGCGGCGCCAGCGTCGGCCGCCTCTCCCTGACGCGGGACGCGTTGCGGCGCGTCCGCGCACAACTGGCGCGGTCGGGGCAGGAGCGCCTGTGATAATCTTCTCCTTCTCCTTCTCCTTGCCGTGCCCTGTCTTTTTCTCCCTCTCTTTCTCACTGTCTGACTCCTTCCCCGTCTCCTTCTCCCTCTCCTTCCCCCCCCCCCCCCCTTCCCCCTTTCGTCTCGTGGGACATAGCGTGCCCTCGGCGTCCACCTCTCGCTTCGCATGCAGCGCCCCCTGCCCCCCCCCCTCCCCCACCCCACCCCCCACCACACCACACCACCACCACCACCACCCACCCACCCACCACCCACCCCCCGCGACGCCTCCGCCTCCGCCTCCTCCAGGAGTGGGTGCTCGAGCTATCCGGCGGCTGGCTGCTCCGCCGGACGGGCGCCACGGTCTCCATCGCCGGCGCAGAGGTGGCAGCCGCCGAGCCCGCAGAAAAGGGGCACGTGCCGCTGACTGCCTCTGAGCGTGACACGACTGCTGTACAGGCGTCGGTCGCCGAGCTCGCGGTGGGCGAGGCTGGCGTGCGGCTCCGCCACCCCGCGGAGCTGGCCGTGCGGGCGGGGGTGGCCAAAGGGCCGCGGGCCGAGCTGCCGCCCGGCGCGCTCGCCCTCCGCCTCGGCGGCCTCGGCAGCGAGCGGGAGCTGACGCTACGCGAGTGGAGGCGTGGCGACCGGTTCCACCCGCAGGGGCGTCGGGCGCCCGTCTCGCTCTCGCACTTTCTGCGCGGGCTCGACGTGCCGCTCGACGAGCGGCGGCGGGCGCCCCTCCTCTGCCTCCCCAACAGCAGCACCGTGGTGGCCGTCTGCAGGCCGGCGCACGTGGGCAGCGGCTTTGAGGTCGCGGCGCCGTCGCCCGGCGCAGAGGCAGCGGCCGAGGAGCCGTGCCTCTGGGTGCAGATTCTGGACCAGTAGCTGAAGCTCCTGCGTTTAAACGTAGCCCGTAAAAAAGACGGAAACATTCTTTCATTTGCCTAATAAATCAATAGAGCAGTCATCTCCTTATTTGCCTAAAGAAAGAAAGAAAACACACAACCCAAGGGAGGGATGGGAGGACGGCACGCCGCCACCACACAGGGATTTTAAGGAGAGGGGTGTGATGCGCTAGCCGTCGCCCACCCTAGGGAGTCTGCCTCTTCCTATCTCTCTTCGCAGAAAGAAAGAAAGAAAGAAAACAGACAACCCAAGGGAGGGATGGGAGGACGGCACGCCGCCACCACACAGGGATTTTAAGGGAGAAGTGTGTGGTGCGCTATCCGTCGCCCACCCTAGGGAGTCTGCCTCTTCCTATCTCTCTTCGCAGTCTCTCGCCGATTCTCGCTGCAACCTTCATGCCACCTCGCGGTCGTCCCACCCTCGTCGTTCTCTCCCTTGTCACTTCCTCCTCTGTCGCGTCGTTCTCTTCTGCCTCGTCCTGCGACGCCGCCGCCTGCCGGTCCCTTGTTCTCGCGGCTTCTTTCGCCTGTCGGCGCAACTCCGTCCTCCTCGCGGCGTATCCTGGCCCCTCGAGTCTATCGAGCTCCCCTCGCGCAAGGACCACATTTCTGACTCCCACTCCGATCATTTGCCTACAGGTCATGTTGTTGCTCAGGTCCACTCTCTCTTCGAACACTCGTGCCTCTACGGATGATGCCGGCGCTGGGGTCCCCTTCGGATGCATCGTGACATCTGACAACTGGATTTCCACTGGTTCGTCCTCCTCGGAGTCATCTTCCCCGTCCTCCTTCCGCTCGGCTCTTCGCTCGGTACGTTCGGTGTGGCTCACCCTCCATGCCGTGAACAGGCGCTTTATCCACCCTATATTCTTCTCTCGTTCCTCTGCCCGTGCCTTGGTCTTGTCGTTGTTTCGCACCCATGTCTGTATGGCAATCGAGGCTGCCTTCCCCACTACAATTTATTTGCCTAGTGTCGTGCGAGAAACCACGAAAAATTCTTTTATTTGAAGGACGCACTCTTGGCATTCGTATTAAAGACGATTAGACGTGGTATTAAAATTCATTATGCTCGCGAGGAGCCAGCCAGACATTAAAACTCACTCTTACATTCGTAATGGAGTGCAGTCATCAACCTCACGTCCAGGGCAGAGGAGCTGAGGAGCGCACCCAGCGGGCCGGATGATCGGTATCGGCTTACGGGCTAGAGAGCCCTAGCCCCGGGGGTGCGCGTTCGCAGGGCAAGGGCCGTAAAGTAAACACGGGTCTCCGAGGGTTGGCTCTGCGCTCCGGCCAGGTATGGCATCACAGATATGGTAAATAAATTAAATAATAGTCAGTATATATGTGGTAGTGACGTATTAAAATTTATTATGCAGCCAGTAGAGGAGCCAGTACATGATTATGATTAAAAATTCATCATTTACATCGATTAACGAGTTGAGATGGTATTGGATCGTATAGGAGCCCTGGAGAGACAGAGCTGCGAAAGATATTATATTGTTATGGTAGGCTGCAACACGCACTTGGAAGCACTTGGAGTGCAGTCGGCAACCTCAGGGGCGTCCGTTGTGTCGCTTGCTGCGCCGCAGGCCGCCGGCGGGCGCGTCTCTGGCTGGAGCGGCTCGCTTCGTGCCGTTGGAGCACCTCGCGGCCACAAGGCGTTTGACATGAGCCGAGTACCCGGTGCTCGCCGCGTCATTCTTGGGCATGTGCTCCATCGACCAGAGCAGGGCATTCGTCACCTGCGCATCTGTTAGCCCAGAGAGCACCCGCAGCAGGTGCCCTTTTGAGGAGGGAAGCTGCGAGCGTCCATTAACACTCACCTTCATGAAGCCCGTGAGCTCGAGGAAGAGACGCCCCAAGCAGGACGCAAACATGCATTGCGGGAAGAGACTCGCGAGGGTCGCAGTAGCCTTGTCGACACGCCCGTTCATCGCGTAGTCCTCCAAGGTAGGCGATGCGGGCGCGAGCGCGCCGTGGGAAAAGCTGGCTGAGGCGATCGTGTGGCACGTCCCTCGGATGACGCCATCGCGGTTTGTTGCCCTAGGGGCATGGGAGACAATGTCGACGGGACCCGCCTTCTGCCGTGCGGCCTCAAAGGACTCAAAGACGGACTTGAAGCCTCTCTCCCCCCGCTGCAGGGTGCACACGACCTCGCCGTCGCAGGGGCTGGTGGGGTCGGGGGCGCGACGGCAGCTGGCGTGCCATGTGCGCAAGTGAGACCACGCTTGCTGCGGCGGGAGGTCGCTCGTTCCCGCGTCGAATAAATCGATGTGCGAAGGCGTACTGAAGCGTGCTGGCCCAACAGGCTTCGTGGCCACCGTTTCTCCAAGAAATGTCTCGCGCTGGACGGGCACGATTGCCGCGAGGGGCAAGAGCTTGTCGCTCCAGGCCTCTGCGCGCCGCGACGTTGACGCTTCCTGCTGCTGTCCAAGCCGGTGAAATAGTGTGTGCCTGTTGAACGGGTCCTCCCTTGAGAGCCGCAGCCGTAGACAGCAGGGCGCCTCGGTGGTGCCCGGGAAGGCTGTCCGCACGCACTCCGCTGGGATCAGCGCGGACGCGGCCTCCACCTGCTGCTGACCGCCTGCGCACTGCCGCAGCAGCTGCGCATGCCGCTCGCCGATGGCGGATAGAACCGCCCCATCCCGCGTTCCAGCCAGCGACTTCGCCAGCGGCTTGCTCTGGTCCGGTACGCCTAGGTTCGTGCTCGCAGCGGGTGACTCCCAATTATCTGAGAGGCAAGCGGCGCGTTGGGCCGCCGCGCCCTTTGTCTTCTGGTTCGCGCGGACTAGGAGCGTGGCGTTGGGGTCGTCTGAAGCACGAGCCGCCTGCAGGAGCCTCAGCCAGTCCTCGACGGACCGCGAGACGAACCCCACGCCGCCCTCGCCCGTGTCGTAGACGAGGTACCCGTTCTTGCTCTTCTCGTTCGACGGATCGAGCCCGCCCGAGTATTCGAGCCGCTCGTAGACACCCCGCTTCCTTTGAGTCGGGAGGATGTCACGTTGGTAATCGCCAAAGATCCTCGCAACGACGGGCACCTCCTCTTCGGTGCAAAAGCCGGCGAGGGGGCTCTCGAGCCACTCGTGCGGAGCACCGACGGTGCAAAGCCCGGCGTTGGTCATCGCCGATGCGTGCTTGCATAGAGCTCCCACGTCCCCGTCACGCACCATCGCGCTCTGCAGAACGGCGGGCTCGAGATCGTTCCACACCTCCCGGCTGCGGACGTCGGCCACGAGCGCATCGTGCTTAGCACGAAGCTCCGCATCACCGCCCAGGACGTCGAAGGAGACGACCCACGGCTCGCCCTCAGTTGAAATGATTGCCTGTGTAACTTTCTCGAGCACCAGCTCGAACGCTCGGTCCTCTTCGGCTTTGACGGCTGCTCTCGCCGCTATCTTCTCCGCTGAGTCGCCGCTTTGCGCCTCCCACACGGTGCCCTCTTGCTTCTCGTCGAGGCAGATGAAGCCAATCTGGAAGAGGGTGGCGGTGTATTGGAAGGCGCGATCGCACGTCACCTCTGAGAGGAGAGCCCACGTGTTGTTCGGAATCAACTCAAAGCCGACCTTTGAGCGCGGATGCGGGCGCCCTTGTCCGTTTGAAGGCGCGTCGGGAGGCATCGTTGAGCCGGCCGCTGCCGGAGCACCGTCAGAGGCTCGATGGCACTGCTGCGCACTCCACTCTGTGGACGCACTCTGGTTTGCACGAAGCTGCTCTCCGATGGCACCCTGCTGCGCAACGTGCTCGTCAGCGCCCGCGACATCGAGCTGCATTCGCGACATCTCTGCCCCCGCTCCACCGCCGATGGCATCGAGGGCATCGAGGGCAGTCGCGGGTGGGGCGGCGGGTAGGGCGGGGGTGGAGTGGCTGGGGGCGGAGGGGCCGGCGGCGGCGTTGAAGATGGCGCCGGCGAGGGCGCTGCTGCTGAAGGGGACGGGAAGGGGCGGACTCGAGGTCGTGCCGTTGTGGGGTACCGTTGATGGAGGGCCTCTCCTAATCAAGTCGTTTTGCGAGCGGGCGGGTAGGGCGGGGGTGGAGTGGCTGGGGGCGGAGGGGCCGGCGGCGGCGTTGAAGATGGCGCCGGCGAGGGCGCTGCTGCTGAAGGGGACGGGAAGGGGCGGACTCGAGGTCGTGCCGTTGTGGGGTACCGTTGATGGAGGGCCTCTCCTAATCAAGTCATTTTGCGAGCGGCGGCACCCTTCTCTCGGAGGGCCGGCCCGTGTGCTGTAGAAAGCCCACAACTTGGCACGTGACCTGCGGACCGCAGCGTCTTGTTCTTTCGAAGCTCGCGGTACAAAATCTGGCATCCTCTGCTCATCAGGACAACGCACGTACTCCACCCATTCGTTCTGTGCCTTTGCCCACTCGCCGTCCGGTCGGCCGAGAAAGTCCGTCTTCCGGGGACGCTGCCGCATGAGAGCACTGGCAGATGCGACGCTCCCGAGAAGGCAGTAGAGCGCCGCAGCCAGCTGGGGCCGATATGCCAGACAGAGGAGGGCAAGCATTCTGGTGGGCCGAAGCCCGAAGTAGCGAAGATGCCAGAAGGACGTTCGTACGCTTACTAATCGCACTTGCCAATTAAAGCTCGAGTCCCGCACCTGCGACAGAAAGTCCAAACCCTAAATTGGAGAATACACTCCCCTCGTTTCCCTCCCGCGCCGCTTTCGGCGCGCTCGTTTTGCGAGCGTATTTTCTTTTTCACATATTGCATAAAGTGTCTTTCTACTTTCAACGAGAAACGCGAAGTCAGAAGACGAAAGATACCTCAGACGACGAACCGACCCTGTGCGAAGGTAGCACACAGAACGCACCACCTACCATTCTGGACTCCCCCTCCCCCCCCCCCACAAGAGGCAGCCTCCCGTCAGGCTGCTGGTCTTGTCGCTTGCGTACGGCTCAGGCGATCCCCCCCCCCCCCCCCCCCTCCCCCCCCCCCCCCCCCCCCCCCCCCCCCTCTCCCCACACCCCCCCCCCCCCCCCGCC